GCTGTCACAACACATAATACGATGAAAATCATGTTATCTCTGTAAATCTTTTTTGACACTAAAAGTTAAGTGTCGTTTGTGTCTCTATTCAATCTCCGCGTTTATTTAACGAACTTTTTAACTTGATGGAAAAAGCGAAAAAGTTCTTCGTGTGCCACGTTGTCTATGATAAATATATGTTCCTGGAGATTTTAGCTATTTGTATATTTTTTTGAAGCGAAAGAAACATGAAAGAGTATCTTGTCACTTTGCTAATAAATGAGTTTCAATGCATTTATCTGGCGAACACATTTAACCAGCTCTCTATGATTCAAAAGAACGTTACTCAATGCATTTCTCTGGCTATCTTTTGCAAGAAAAAAAAATTAGAAAGAGATCTTATTAATTGATATTAAATTGTAAGATTTATTTTTTACTTTGAAAGCATTTCAATTTGCATAATATTATGCATAATAATATATAATAATATTAGTATTTATTTGACAAGTTACAAGTGGCCATATTTTAACAAGTAATAAATAATAAATTTTGCCATTTGCTTAGAGATAATGATAAATTAAAAAATTAAATAAACTAGATAATGTACACTTTAGAGTATTAAAGCATTAAGCATACAAAAGTATTTTTTGCTTTTTCAATCATTCTAATTGTGAAGAAGTTATTTATAATTTTTAATATGTATAATGATAATTTTTATTTTATAAACAATTCTAGAAGTGAATGAAGAGAGATGTATAAATATTATAACTGCTGTATTTATTTGTGGTTTTATTGAGTCGCAATACGATAGCTTTGCGTATGCTATCGGAAAATAGTTGTTAACGTTTCTGATGGGGATGATGGAACGCACGTTTTATAGTTCCCGAGAACACATTACATCGACGAATGACACCTGTCTCTTTATAATCTCATTGCTCATCGATCAGCCATCGATGTTGAATTCTATAGCGATAAGCAATGGCAACGCGCCGAGCAGTGAAACGTGCCTAAGAGTGACACTGCAGGATAGCTATCTGGAGTACTCGGAACAGCTTGAATATTCATTATTCGAGCGTTTCTCTCGCTCGATGCTCATCGATCACTCGAGCGATGTCGCAAGCTGAAGCAACATAAATAATCGAGACAAAACGTGGCCGGCGGTAAGGAATGCCATGGTCCATATCTCCATGCTCGCTCAAACAATAGATATGTGCAACAATAGCGGTTAATTACGAGGAGAAACGCGCATAATCATCGTGCATATCTTTTTTATTAATGCGTTAAATAGTTTTAAACTCTCTCTCCGAGATAGGGTTGCACGACATATTAAACTTAGGCTTGATATTATCTTGTCGTGTCTCGAAATTCGAGACAGGATTAAGACAAAATTTTTAATTAGTTATCAAGATAATACCAAGACTAAGATTCTCAAGATTATTGATTTCTACAAAAAAGCTAAAATATGTATATTTGTGTAAATTAGAGAGAAAAAAATTACTGTATTATACAAATTTAAAAAATTTTACTTAATAAATAAAAATATTTATATTGACAAATTTAAAAGCAATTAATACGATGAACAAAATAAAGAATATAAAATTTTACACAATTATTTAGCTATACAAAACTTTGTGCACAGCATGTACGCGGTTCTTTGATTACTATTATATATAATAATATTTTTGGGAAATAAACGAGAGAGAGACAGAAGGAGAGAGAGAGAGAGAGAGAATGACATCAATAGTAATAATTATCTTAAATTATTATATATTATAAAAATTATACATATATATTGTTAAATATTATTTTAAACAATAGTTTAGTATTAGATAATAATTGTAAATAAAATCGAAAGAAGACAATACAAGATGAGGTTTTTGCTATCAAAATTCACTCAAGACTAAGACAAGATTTAGAATATTTTTATGAATATTGTCTTGTTTTGAATTTTGTGCAATCCTACTCTGAAAATTATCACATTACACAGTTCAAAGAAAAATATGATATAATTATTGATAAAATTTATTTCAAATTTATAATCTCTTTCTGTCGATTTAAAAGAGAAGTCTTCTGTCGATACACATCTCGTGTATCGCGTCAGCGAGATAAACGATTCTGAATATCAAAATTGTGAAGTGACACGGCATCTTGATATCGCGCATACGTCATCCACAAATTTTTTCGACGACTTTAAATGGATAAATCGCGTTTTAAGTGTTATGATCATCGCGTCAATGGACTTAAATCGATGACACGATCCGGCACATCGTATCTACTGCATCGTTGAGAAATCCTCCACGCGAGGTGCACGCGAGTTTGACCGTGTGTGCATGATGATATGGAGAAAGAAAGGGAAAGAGAGGGGCACTCACACTGGTATCTCGGACAGGTTTACAAGATTTTTTAGCCTGAGGCATGCATCTGGGCAACCCGATCGCGACTCGCAAGGTAGAATATCGAATTATTGCACTCGGATTAAATAGTAACTAGAGATTCTACACGTACATGTACGTGTCGTGCGAATATTAATCTGTTCAATGCCAGCATATGTATTTTACATAATAAAATGTGTTGTGTCTGCTGAAGAGATTTTGTTTAGAAGTTTATCGGAAAAAAGGTAGCCCGAGAGTGATATGATCATTTATTGCCGTAAATAGTTATTAATATATGGTTGTAAATATATATTATTAATATAAATATTAGTTTTAATATTATATTAATAATATGTTATATTTGATTATACGAAGTTCTCAAGGAATTTAATTGTTATCGTGTCGCAAAAATATAAATTGTTTGAAGCTGGGTCGAATATTTATCTTTTTTAGTCTCGTTTGCCAAAGTGCAATTATACAATTATGACAGTAACACAGAGTTCGTGACAAAAGGCAATCCAGAAGAGGCAAAATATGGATGATGAAATCACTGTGCAATAATATTGAGTGGTACAGGCGCCGGTTTGCTCTTTCTCCGGTGTTTATATTGCCACGAGCGCTTTTTACTGCGCCTGGCGTGAACGACCGCAAGGCTTTCTGACGGGCAATCATCGAATCATACTGAAGAGCGGAATGATCTCGTGGCTGTCAGGAGGTGATAAAAGTTACGCGGTATGGTGATTTGCTCTTAATGGCCGCTTGTGGGAAGCTGAGTGTAAGACGCAAATGTGAGGTGAGAATGAAAATATTTGACGCTGCTTGTCCCAAGAAAAAATGCAGTAACCATCATTTGCTCAGAACTTTGCTCGACCGTAATCGGCGTGACTGTTATAAAATGTGATGAAAACGTACCAGTACACAAATTAACGCAAAAATTTGGTCAACGAAAATACTTTTTTCTATATATCTTTTTTTCTATATTAAATTATAATGAAAAAATATAATTAATAAATACATTAAGTTATGCATATCTATAAAATAAATGCTTTCGCACACTTGGCGTAATAATTCGTTAGTTATTAATATGATATCGGAGTTTTATTTTTACAAAAAGATACGCTAAATTATTCATATATAATTAATAAATTTTGGAATCATAAAAATATTCTGAATGTGTTTTCAGAATTTTTGTAATTCCTCTTTTTACTCGCTGTCGCAATCAATTAAAATATAAAATTTTCATATAGTCACGAAAAAACCAGCTTTATGCATTAAATTTTTTAAAGCTACAGACAAGAGACTCGCGCGGAGAATTTTGCGAAAGTCAAGTTTTACGATCGCATACGACCAATCAGGTTAATTGGCACCTTGGGATTACAAGCCGCGGTAACAGAGAGAGTGCCATTTATCCGGATAATTTTAATCCACGTGTGTTACGAGCCGTTGCATGCGGGCAAAAGAAATCCGCCGTCGCGCGCAGACAATCCCAATAATAGTACGCGACAGAGAAACGCGCTCTACGTGCGAGATAATTAATCGGTCGATTAATTAAACGGCTCGCGGCTCGCCTTTGAACGGCGGTGCGTTCGCATACGGCCTTATTCCGTCGACGATCGCGCGCGATCGTACATCATCGCGCGGACGCGGCGCGGCGTGTCGTTCATTGCTCGTAAATATAGTAATTCAACGACACGTTAGCGACCCCGTATATTTACGCGTCGCGGTTCATTCACTTCCATTTACGTGCCGCGACGAGTAATCGCACCCCGCACTCTCGGCGCGCTTGAATTATTCGAGACTTGCGACGCGCGAATATCGAATTGTCTATTTCTCTAAACGAATCTTGTCTTCACCAACGCTTTTATTAATCTTTGATTAAAAGGTTAGCCAAATCGGGGTTTTTTATTGAAGCGATTTATATTATTCAGGGAAAAGATAGATTAAATTTCTTTAAATTTATTTGGTGTGTACTTAATAAATTATTGTATCTTTGAGTACAGGCTGAGATTCATATATAATATTTGACGTAAAAGAAATACAGTCTATTAAGTTTGGATCAAATATCTTTACGAGAGATAACGCTATTCCGGACAAAGCTCTTGCGCCGGATGCAAAGGTATTGCGGCTCACAAACGGATATGTATATGACTCACGTGCAATTTGCGGGAAATATTTTATTGCATATTTTATACTTCTTTAACCCAATTACGGAACATAATTGCAAATTGTTGACGGCATGCAATGTTTTTGCATAAAGATACATTGTTTTCTGTTTACTCAATTTGCATCGCTATCTAATCTTGTTATGCAAATATCTCTTATGTATGTTTTCATATATCAAGATAATTTTCTGTGTATTTTTCTTTATAAATTACTTTACCGCAGAATATTTTTAATCTATAATAATGCACTTTTTACGACTTGAATTTTTAAACGCAAATTATAAATAGCGTCTAAACTTTTAAATCATTCAAAATAACGTCTGCTATCCTGTTTCAATCAGGCTATAATAGTCCAATTCTGAATTAAGTCACGTTCAAATGAAATTTACACAATAAAGAAACTTCTAAATTGCGATGATGTTAGGAAACTAATTATTTTATATTATCTCATCATTTCTTGATCCTGCAAAGTTTATTTATCACTCACCCCGTATGATATCTGGTGTACGTGGGAGCTGTTGTCGGAACCAGCTGATAGCTCTGCGTGACGGCCTCTCTCGGTTGATGCCGATGATTGTCGTGATAACCCGCATACGCTGTAGCCCTGGTACCACCGTGCTCCGCTATCGTCACAACACCCAATTTATGCTCCACATGATGATGCCTCGATACCGAGTTTATCTGCTGCGGTGATCTCGTCGCTGACACCTGCGGCCGCAACGGTGTCCATGGACCCCTCGTAGTGGTCGTTTCTCGGACGACACTGTGTTCGTCATCTGGGCGATCGTGTCTGGCATGAAGAAGTCTATCGCGATACCAGACTGGCCAAACGACTCTGTGGCTGTGCGAGGGCAACCGATGATGATCCTCCGGAGACGATGGAGCGGAGCTCGCCGTGGCGGCGATAAACAAGCATGCCAGCAGTATCTTCAGGGCCATCGCGTCCGGCTCTTCGAAAGACTATCGTGTTTATGACAATCGCGCGATGTCCTGATAACGACAATGTACGAGCCGTCACATTCTCGACGGTCGCGGTGGACGCGCTAAATTCGCGACGGACATCCGGTGCGAGATCCTCTACGAGCAGCTGAGAGCACTACTGAGAGCACTACCGAACGAGACACACGAAGCGAGGCCCACGTGTTTCAGAGCTGCTGGTGAACCAACCCCACCATGAGTCTCCTTCTTTCTCCGTCTTGTTCCTTCCCCCTGTGTTTCGCCAGGCTTCCCTCTTCTCCCCATTGCCGCATTTACTCACCAGTATTCGTTTGTGGCCCGGTCTGCTCGGTGTGTGTCTGACTCTTTTCTCCCTTTCTCCTTTCCATTCTCGTGCCGTAGCTGCCGTCTGTTCTCCTGATATTCCACCAAGTCCTTCGGTAACCACCTACATATCCTTCCGTGGTTTAACCGGTGCGGGGCGGACAGCGTCTCTCTCGTGGTCGCTATCTTTACGAGAGATAACGCTATTCCGGACAAAGCTCTTGCGCCGAATGCAAAGGTATTGCGGCTCACAAACGGATATGTATATGACTCACATGCAATTTGCGAATTCCATCGTTATCGGAACAACATGTCAAATAATTAACGGGGATAAAATAAACGTATGAATGAAAGGCTTTCAATTATAAAGCACATTTCTTGGAAAAGATGGAAAAATACAAATTAGTATTCCACGATATTTAAGAATTCCGTAAATTAAATTGTCAATTTACTTAAATTGTCAATTTTACAATTAAAAAAAAGAAAATATATAAACATTTTAATAAATTAGAATATGAAATAAACAATAGTATTAAATACTATTATAAGTTTAGATAATATTAATAGAAAATTATTTTTTACACAAATAAGTATTATTTTATAAAACAAGGAGAAACTATAGCAAAAAGATATAAAAACACAAAAGAGTTAAAGTACAGAATGAAAAGGAGATAAAAAACTGGATGAAATATTTATTAAGATAAAATATGATATACATGATAATAATCTGGTGTAAAAATACTTGAAGTTGATATCGCAATCATATAATAATAATTATAATAATATAGTATAGATGTAGGTAATGACATATACCGGTGATAACCAAGTGCAATGCGGTGATAATAATTGTTGTCATGACCAGGAACTGCAATACCGTTGATATAATGATTAGTTCTATGCATAATCTGTTCCTGATCTGTGTTCCTCATTATTGTAAGAAAAAATAAACCGCAAATTATAAAATGAGATGAAATAAGCATTTGCAAAATTATATTTAACTGAGTTAAAAATATATATTTAAATTTGTATGCAGAATTATTTTTATACATATCTGGCTCTTAAATAGGAAAAATATGACATCCGAAGATTCTTTTGTATTGCTTATTAAACTCTTGATTTTCGCGAAATTCTGTTTAAAATTACTTAATCTAAAATTATATGCAAGATACAATAATGTTTCTTTATTTTCTCTAACAGTCACCATATGTACATTGAAGAATAGGTCTTAGATTACGTTGATACACTCGATTCTTCTGAATCTAGCCTGCAATGTCGAGGGAATTGCTCGAGGACCGACTGCGGTCGATTTTGCAATGCCGGAGTTGTAAGTTACGCGCACTAGAAGTCCCTGTGCAATTCCTGAATCACTTCGGCCAAGACGTTACTTGAGACCAAGGTCAGTGGTGCAGTGGCTGCAACCGAGGTCTCCGTTACTTTTTTGCTCATTCCTCGCTGACTAAGAGCGAACGGAGAGGAGCGGAATAATTGCGCGGATCATCGTCACGTTATTGCCCATTAGAGGAGAACGGGGCACAAAACACAGAAGCATATCGCGACCGGCAAGAGATAAATCAATGTGGCAGGATAATATATCGAGACGCGTTCATTCCCACGAGCGCGATCTACCCTTCTCATCTATTCGTGATCTCACCAGTACTTCGATGTTTCATGTCTTTGTCGTCATACAGAGTGTTGAGTATGAGATATTCTTTAGAATGGATAGATAAACTTTACGGAGGGAAAGGAAAGAAAATTTTAAAAATTGCGTACTATGAATTCCTTCGATTTCTGTCTCTTTCTCTTCATATATATATATATATATATATATATATATATATATGATATATATCTTGTTCTCTTTGTATTGTTACACTTCCTATTTAAAAGCCAGATAAATGTACTGATTTAAATGCGAAGGACACAGTGAAGCCGAAGTAATGTTTCATTCAGACAGTGCCAGTGCGCTCAAATGAAATGCTTATGATTAATGCTGCCGACACTGCATAGGAATGTTAATCGAACTTGCTGCGATCGCAAAAGTATTTTTTTTTTCTTTTACATGTCGTTCTTTCCGCGGTACGATAAGCCTCGTTATCGAGATATCGTAGACATCGTCTCATTAATTATTGCTCGCACATACTTTATTCTGTCGATAATTCGTCGGCAGTCGGACCGGTTTGTCTTCACAATCAATTGCAGGCTCATCGAACTGCACGTAAGCAATCATGACGTTGGTTAACGATTAGTTATTCCCATAGTTAGCTTTAGGCTGCGCTTCAAATTATGACTGAGTCAATGCAAGCACAATTTGATGTTATCAAACAAAAGGGAATCAGTATAGTTGAAACTTTTTATAATACAGAATAATTTTAAATTACCTTTTAAAATTTGTTTTATTAACATAAAGTTTTCTTTAATCGAATTTTGATTTTGCATGTAATTTTTATCCGTTATGTCTTTCTCATAAAATTTGTGCAAGTTGTCAATAGTATATTTTTTAACAAACAAAAGCTTAAAAGTTACACAAATATTTAAATTAAGAACAATTTTAATTTAAATAATGTTTGCAATATAATTTATCACTACTGCGAGAAATACTGTAACAAGTTTAGCATCTAAGAAATCTACGTCGTTGGAATATGTTGTTCCAATTTTCACGAATGAATTCTTAGATAGTATATTCATAAGAAAAACACTTAAGCACGCGCATCTCCACGCAATACCGTCTCTACAAAGTATAGAAAATTCCACTCTGTGGAGGGAAGTAATGTTGCGGAATAAATTAATAGTCGCGAGAAGTCGCTAAAGTTATAACGACACTGTGAACTTTAACCTTTTCTCAAGAGAAAACATACAACAACATAACCGAAAATTAATCTTATGATAATAATTCGTTGCTTACATTTTGCGCGATAAAAAAATAAATAAAGAAGAAAAAAAAATATATATATATATACATTATATTTTTATAAATTTTATGAAAAGTCTACAAATACCATTCATCGACATTTTAATATCTTAAAAAAGATATTAGAACGTCAATGATGTTTTGAAATTAAAAACGAACACATACAGTAAACTTTTATTTGAGTAGTTTATAGTGTTTTGTAGTATATCATACTTTTATTAAATATTTTGTTAAACAAATATATATAATATATATCTTTCTATTAATTCTGTAAATCCTGTAAATAATAATACATTGTTTGACGATAAGCATATAGACATAAGACAATCGTTAAAATAATATCGTAGTAATAATTTAAATTTAATAAATAGAATTCTCCAATATGTTTAATTTATCCGGAATAAATAACTAAATTGTAGCTTGTAAATACAGTTGTACTATACATATATTTCAATTATTCCATTGGAACTAATTTTTGATAAGTCTGCTTCTCATTGTGATTATCTTTTGATTAATTTACATGAATTGTATCAATTCTCTATATCTGCAATCTCAGTATGTACATTTCATAAGAAATGATTTTACGAATCGTAATGCCTTGAGGCATGCATATCAATGATAGATGGTATCGTAAATAACAAGATGTAGCTTCCGTCGTGAAAGCAAATTACGGAGAACTTAATCAAGGATACGATCTATATTTATCGATCACAAAATACAATAAATTATTACACTTTTTTCATACTCTTGGTAGAAGGTATTTGCGATTTAATGCACTTAATATACAGTTATAGAACATTTTATATTCTGTATTATATATTTTATAGAATAAACTATCGCCTATTTTATTAGGATATTTAGGAGAGAGAGAGAGAGAAAGAGAGAATTTTTTGATATTTTACATATTCTAAAATTTATCATTAAGGTATTATATAAATATAAAATTTTTTTTATTATAACAAGTCGATGTTTGCGATATATATTTGAAAAAAGATATATTATTGATAGTAAAATAGCATAATTATATCGTTTTTTTTTTACTTATATTCTTATCAACAAAACAATGACCATTATCAAGTATGAGACTATTCCTGGATTAATATGCTATATCTGTTTGCAATATCTAATGCTCTCTAATTCTTGTACACCCAATGTATGACGCAAACTTACGGATACATATATTGCACTCAGGTCACGTATCCAGGTTTTGACCTACTGACCTACACGATCCCGTGACGTCACGGGAAAGCAGTAGGACAGCGAAAGGGTGGCAAGGCTGGAATAGGTGGAACTTCAATATGACGAAGGAAATGTTTTTCTCGGTACGCTGAAATGATGGGAATAATTCAGACGTTATAAGCATTTTCTGTGAAATATGTGAGTTAAAAAATTTTTATATGCACATCGTTTTTATACTTAAACATAATTTAATTTTTTTTATAAAATAGGCAAATATAAAAACATAGGAAAATAAAAGTATTTAGTTTTTAATAGGGTGTTTTAATTATAAAACAATTTTTGTTATTTAGCTAGTAACAAGATCGTATTATAATTTTATATTTCGTGGAAAAGTCTCATAAAACTCTTTATTACATTTTCGCTCATGCAATTTGCAAGCAAATATAAAATACTTCGAAAAAAAATGAAATAAAAACGTTTAAATGCTTTTTATATATGATTTCTTACTACTTTATTTTCCACTTATTGCTAAAATAAGAATATTATTTATAAGCACATATTTGTGTATATATTTACAATTTAATATTGATAACACATATTTAGAATTGATATTTAGAATTAATCTACTATTCATCTTTTCGTTTAATTCGTCTATTTATTTTCTTAATAACATTTTTTTAAAAAAAAAACATTTTCACATTCTATTAATTTTTTTAAAAATATTCAGAATATGTATATTTATATATATTCTTTGTCTCGTGATTGAAGAAAGATAAATAGATATGTGCATATATTTGCTCTCATGTCGAAGATGTTAGTTTCTATAAGACTGCCATACAGAAGCATGGCTCATATTTCGTCAATATGCGTTATCATATCTTGATATATGAAATTTTAATATTTGCTCTAACGAAGTTTTGCTCAAGTTGATGTCGACTAATCGCTATGTTTGCTAGCCAATGTCAGACAATTAACCAAGAGCGACACCATCCTTTGTCTAAATTCTCGCGCTCTCCAGCTCCGCTTTATATGCTATTTTACAACTTTTTATATCCTTTTCTTACTCGTATTTTTGATAGAATTTTTTCGCGTGAACAAAACCATTGAGTTTGTCGCAGTCTCATCGTCCCGGAGATTAGCAAGAAGCCTAAAACTGATTGATATAACAGATCATCGCGCGATCGAAAGGAAGGCTTTCATCGCCAAGAATCATCGATGTCAATGACAGCTTCCTGGTTAGATCTATTTATCATCGCTCAGACATCCTCATTCTGACAGCAACGATTTCTGCCGAATTATTTACCACCATCACAAGTCAACGAACAGATTTGAGCGCCACTGCATGAGCAGTGGATGCAAATTTTTTGGGGTGGAGATTGAAGAGATACATTTTAATTGGAATACTTGGTATAATTGAAAACGAGGTATATATGATTTATATCAATAATATATCGTTAATTCCGTAGTTTTATAAATAGAATAAAAATTAATAATTTTCTAAAAGTTAGGTTTTTAAATGCTCTTTTATATATTAATTTTTTGAATATATATATAAAATTTAGAATATATATGTGTATTCTTTGAGTTTAAATTTTCTTGAGTAGAATTTCTTTCTTTTTGAGTATTATAAAAATCTGTGAAAATTGCGAGATATAAAATTGATAAATGGATATATATATTAATATATACAAATAACAAAATTTTATTTTTAGATAAGTATAAGTAAAATTATTAACTGGCAGCTAATTATATTTTAATTTACAGCTAATTATAAAAATATTTAAAAATAAGCTTTTAAAAGAGAGAAAGAGAGAGTGAGGGAGAGAGAAAGAGAGAGAGAAAGAATTTGTATCAATTTAAAGCAGAAATTTCTTTTAAAAAAAATTTAATTTATATATATATAATATATTATTAATTATATATACATATATGTGTAAAATTACAGAAATCCGTTAGACATTCTATATATAATCAATACAATTAAATTAAATGATAAATTATATGAAAAATATTTCGAAATAGATAACCATATTCCCTGTTGTATACGCGATGTAAACGCGGTAGTCTGTACATAGTATGTGCATATGTCTTTCCGCTTCAGTAAGCGTTTCCTCGAAATGTCCCATCGTATAAACCATCTCCGCATATTTTAACGAACGATTCGAGAAACGTCGACTTGCACGTGGAATACCGTATTTTCCATCTGTTTCGCGGAAATGTGTAGAATATCCGTTCGCCTTGACATTATATAGCGAGGTATCTAAAATGTATCTCTACGGCATCACACTTGACTTCCCTTACACCTTTTCACCGATTTCACTGATGCATCAAATATGCTTGACAAATATTGTCGATGTATCTTAAATATCGTATAGCTTAAAGCTTAAATATACTATATATATAAGATATGATATGACGTCACGCGTCTCAACAAACATATCTACCTGTTTTCTAATAATTTTCTTTATGTTATTCCGCCCCAAAATTGAAACATGAAATGTTTCAATGTTGTTGGTTCTATCGTCAAAAAAATGTTCTACAGTTGTGTCTCATATTTTCGTCGATAAGAATTGAATCCTTACTTTTGTATCTACTTAAGCCGCTACAGTCGGCAATATAACTGCGTTGAATTATTGATTTATATCGATTTATGTATTACTAGCTTAACGTTTCTATGTCTTTCTCTCTTTTTGGAGAATATATATGTACCTTCATACTTATCGATATTTACAACTGCTTCTTTAATTCTATTTTGTTAATTTAATCTTTTCTTTTTTCATTATTTTAGAGTTTAACTCCAAGAGTTTAATTTACTCATAACAAACATCTCGAAAAAAATGATAATATTTAATTATAATAGCAAATTTAATTATTTTATTATAATGTAATATTTTTATAATAATTTAAAGAGTTTTAAACTTTGCATAATATTATTTTTGTAATTCCAGATACCATCGCCGTCTTTTATGAGTCAGTATTCACGGCCATTCTATGATTCGGATAGTCGACCCATCTTCTAGTTTCAGGCAAAACGCCAGCGAGTGGATCTATAAGGTCAGTCCTGACAGTAAAAACGTGCGACCAATGCGAAATTTACCCCGGGAGTTCTCTTCCAAATGGGTCACATTGGTAGAAAGAAGAAAGAGAGCAAGGTTACGCGCACGCAAACGACGACGACGGAGATGTCGCGTGGCTATAAAAGTCGAAACGCTGTCGGACACACAAGCGAACGTGTTCGAGACGCAGGGGCTCTAAGCGAATTACTTGGGATCCACACGTGGATCTCAAGGTGCACAGCCTTGAAAAAGCTACGACGACCGTGAAATCGATCGTCGTAGCTGCACGATGCTTTCTCGTGCCAATCTTGGAATTAATGTCAGTATAAGATATCGAACAAATCACCTGTCAATTTCACAAGCCGTGCCATTATTTTATCAACGATTTGTATTCTTCCACAAATGAATATTGAATTTCTTTTCTTATTATATTATGCAAAATATTCTGTAATATAGTTTTATAGTTCAGTTTGCTCGGGTCATTTTGAGACGAAAAACTGAAATGGATGTATATATGAAACCAATTGATAAATTAAATAACTTTTTGATTAAAAATATTACATAACATATTTAACAATTAAATATTCTTTACATATTTTATTACTTATATATTTTTAAAATGTTAAATTTTATTGACACTATTGCAAGTAATATGAAATAAACATACATACATCAATTTTTATATAAAACAATTCTTTTTGATTTTTCTTTAGCAATAACTATTGTAGCTTAATAACTCTCTATTGTAATACATAAGTAATAGTAATAATTATTTCTATATGTCAGATGTTAGAAAGAGAAATTATTATATTAAATAAGTTAATTACGTTTATAATTATGGCCATAAAGTGCTTCCAATAATAAAAAAAATTAATACTTATTACAAAATTATTAAAAAATCAATTTTATTTAAAAATGTCACATTTTGCTATTCATTTAATGAATTGTTATTATCTAATATAATCTTGCGGTTATAGCCTGGAAAAATTAATTAATTAATAGTAACTCCCCAATACAATTAGAGACGCTAAAATTCTATTTCACAATCATTGAGACTATTTTTTATTGATTATTTATTAATTATTGATAATTTATTTTATTAATTTTTATAAGTAAATTATTTTATTCTGTGATTTATTTAATTTTTGCGATATTAACATATTTGACAACATTTACTTATTTCCAGATGTTATTTCTCTGGTCGAGGGAGCCGTCAATTCCGAACCCCAGAATCCATGGTTCGCCTGGTCCATGGTTCGCCTGGTTTGCTACGGCCGTTCTATTGTGGCGTTGTCGACGTCGCATCACCAGAGCAATTCTGGCGGTCTCGCCGCTAAAACTGCTAAGAAGACGCAATGCCGGTCTGGCGATTAATCAGAAAATGATATTGAAGCAGCAGAAGCGACACGGCCTGACGCAATTACACAAGCACAAGGCCATTGGCATACGGCGGGCGAAGCGACTGTGCACCGGCGACGGTCCGCACATGTCCGGCGACATGTCAATGATTCAAGCCGCACCGCAAATCCATTATAGGGTCACCAGAAGCGGCAGGGTGTACGGCAAATACCCGAACAAGACCGCTATACCGAACAGCAGCATTCAAGGAAGCCACTGACGCCGCATTAGGATTATCGAGCTCCCATCCATTGTCCTTGTCCCCTTATACAAATTTCGTGATCGTCGTGATCGTCGTCGTGTTGTTGACGTAACTCCTCCGAAATAATCGCGCGAATATGACATGATATGCTTTTATATCTTTCTCTCATGACATAAATTTCTTTTATAAAAAATGTGCCGTTTTCTTAACTTATGCCGATGCGCGAATCTGGAAGAATATGCACTATAATCATTTTTCGCATTTGTTAAGAATTGAATTAGAATTAATTAAATTATTTCATCTCGATGTAATTTGGAAGTAATAACATGTGCCACAACATTTAGCAGATTCAATTATTCATTATTTTTTATTACGCACGAAATGTTATACAGAAATTAGATGACGCAGTTATACGTTTCATAGAAAATTAAATAATATTATTGATTTAATAAATAATTGGTTTCAGCAATTTGATAATTTAATTTGCATTTGTGCGAATTGTGGATAATCTTTGCGAAAAAATTAAAATTACGTTAATAGAAATAAAATATTTGTATTATAAAAGAAATGAATTAAATACATTGCGCACGTTATGAGAGAAAAGATGGGATTAAAAAATTGAAAAAAAAATTGAAATATACTATCAATATAGTAGTCTTTTTGTCCAACCGATTTTTTTATACTAATTGTTATAATCTCCACCCACACTCAAGTATATATGAGATATTTTTTTTTTAACTTTGACTTATTATATTTCTCGTTTTTTATTTTTTCGATACATTTTCGAAAGCAAGATCGTTTAGCAATCAATTTTCAAAGAGATCATCATATTTTTAGAATTCTTAGACTTTTGACTGCATTCATCTCTTCTCCATTTTCAAATCACTAATCAAGAGCTGACTGTATTTAAGATGCTTAGTGTGTGCTTGCAGAGTATTCTTTAGTTGTTTCTTTTCATTTACAGATGTTTCAATGTCTTAACCGTGGTTTTAACTTAGAAATGATCTATGTTTTCTTAACAGAATAGTCAAAGCATCAATAATTTTGGAATTTTTTATGATTAAAAGTTTAGGAAATTTAATGAAGCAACATTTCACGTATTTACCTGATATTTGTATATTTTATTTGTATTTTTAGAAATGATTATTCATCCACTTTAGGACATAATCTTAATTTATATATTAATTAGAGCATAAATTTAAAAAATCCAACATTTTCAAATTTTTTAAACGAAAGGAAAATGCCAATTGGAATGATGAAACGTCTAAAACGTCTTTTCCTAAGCTGTCGCGCAAGTGGTGTATCGCGGAAAAGCACTCGTTGGCACAGCCCAAGTAACAATGAAATACTGCAGAACTTTCGTATCAGAGATGTGCCAATTTGAGCGGCACAATGCCCGCGGTTTCAGAATGAGCGAATGCATGGAACATGTGCATCGTTGTGCAGAATGGTAGGTAACTGTGCCAAATTTAATCATTCAATATAACCGGCTATATATATGTATATATATGTCACTGACATCAGGGCTGAGATTGTTGCACATTATTATTTTAAGGATTCAGAAGGATATAATACTTTTAACATATCAGTTTTGTTTTAAATTTCATAAAATATGTTATATATATCCAATGTATCGAATCGTTTATTATTGCCTTTGTTCTGTGATGCCAATTAATTATCTTCATATACGCTGTGCGTTATTTCGTATCGATGAGGATTCATCATCGAGGGAGTCACTATTATTTTATCATTGAGAAAAATTGTATAATTTAACAACTTGAAGATATATATTGAAGAAATTAATACCATGTCATTTTATTTTTGTTTGATATTGCTGCAAGTTTAATTGTTTTTAAAAAATAAAGAAAATTATAATACATTTCTCTAAAATTTGCAATAATGTGTTGTAAGATTGTTATTGCAGAGATTGTATACTTCCGCAGCTTTTTGTAATGTCGGCAGCCAAATCTAGTACGCGACGGTCAAGTTCGCTCGTGGCGTGTTGCTTTCATTGACGGGCGATCAAAACCAGCTCACGGTGTGTTGCTTTTGCCGTCAATGGAATATTAAACGTAAAAATTACTCAAACAATAATATTAAAAATAGTATTCTTAAAAAATTAAGATGTCATTTCAATAAAATCGGATTGATAATGAATAATAAAAAATAAAATAAAATATAATCTATTAGAGATATTTAAAGACTTGGTTATATTTGAGAAATGAGAGAAATATGTTGCTAAGAACACAAAGGGAAAGAACGTCATTTAAATAAATAATTGTGGAATTTAAGACTCCAATCTTGGTACTCGTAAAAGAAAAATTTTTATTGTACATTTGAGTTTAATTAAGAACTCGAACGCATACGAAATATATCACAGTACTCTGTAAAAATACTTTTGAACGATACGATCGAACAAATTAACAATTCAAATCAAAGTGTACCGTAACAAGAAAAAACGAATAAGCTAAAATTATCACAAAGACCGTATTAATATGCGAAAATCCTGCTCTTCTATTTTGAGCAAACGTTCTAAATAATTATTACGTGGCATCGTAAGTAATTTTAATAAATTTTGATGAACTGTCTAAAGACCTAATTTAAATTTCTGATTAATGTAATTAACAGCGGACGTAACATTATCTCATGAGAATCACCGTCGATTTTCTGGCTTTAATCAAAAGAGTGCGTATAAATTATGGAAACGATTTCATCAACGCCGTTTAAAGACAAATTGATAAAGGCAGCTCTCTCTCTCTCTCTCTCTCTCTCTCTCTCTCTTTCTCTCTCTTCTCTTCTGTCTCTCTCTTCCTCTTTCTTCTTCTGATTTGATTTGAATAAATAAATATTTGCTTAAGATTTTAGCGGCATTTTGTTAACAATATAATTTTTAAATCAAAAAGTAAAAAATGTTTTTTAAAAATAATCTTATTATAAAAGTGCAAATTGCGTACAATTGAGTGGAAAGTGTTTTATTCAAAAAAGTACTCTGTTACTTATTTATATAGTTATGCAAATCAATATGCATTTAAAAACATATCTTTTTCTTTCATTTTCATATTTTTTTCTTATTGCTTCTTGTTTCTATTACACACAGACTCTCTATATAAAATAAGGATTATAATATATGTAATTATAAAACTTTTTATTAATAAACTTATAGAGGATTTGCAATTTAAAGTGGAATTATGGAATTATCTGGAATTTATAGAATTATTGATTATATATTCTCCGTTACATAGCACAGAATAAAATAGTGTAATAAAGCTTGAGCGTACCAGTAATTTAAATTAATTGATCCTGACTTAGCTAACCCATGGCGCAAACTGACTATGATTGTACAAAGGATATGTTATATTAAGTCTAAGATTTAATTCTGCATTATAATATAAATATTCGTTGATACTCTACTCCGCAAAGCAGAAACGTCGAAGCGGCGAAGTCACAAAATCGACAATCGATAAGCAGCCATCATGAGATATTCGAGAGCGAGCAATTCAAAAAGAATACTGATACAACAATTTCTATCATCCATCGATTCTTTCTGCTCGCACGTTTGACAAGCACGAAATCTCCGGGTGCTCGTGACAGCGAGAATGCGGGTAGATTTGTCGCGGGAATCGACGAGACGGTGTTCGTACGTCGCGACAACAGGGTCGCAGCCTCGAATGCGCCGCGAAAATGCCCGGATGGGAAAGGGTGGATCGGGGGTGGCGCGCAAGCGTCGTCGCCGTCGTATCGACGCCTCGACGCCCGGGCCGAGGGAGAGAAGCGGACTTCTCTGCCAGTAGTAGTTGTAGAAGTCCCGGTTGTGGAGTCAAGCGAGAGTGCGAATATGTGCGCCTGTGCGTAGCGGTGTGTTTCTGCGAATGCATCTCGAGTGCATCTTACGGCAGAGCGGGAGGGATATATAAGGACGTTTAAAGAGACAAGATCTCGGCGATACGAAGACAACGACGACGACGACGGGCGTAGAGGACGACGCGCTATCAGCGTCTCGGCTATCGCTGCCGACTCGGCCGGGTTCGCGGAGAAAAGCGACGCGAGAGGGTGAACAGAAGCGTCAGGAGGCTGTGAGAGGCACCGGCGGAGCTGGTGCACGCGATCAGGATGCGACCGAGGAGGTACGTGTGACGTCGGTTGAACGTGGTCGAGGGTGATAGTGAATAGAGGTTGCGAACGATGCATACAAAGTACTCGGAATTTGGGATGCTGCGTGAACTGCGATGTCATCGTTGCCATGCTCGATTATATATTAGAATTCTCTCTGGTTTGTCGATATTGTGTCGCTCCAATTTACTGCTTCTCTTCCGTTCCCTTAATTGCGATATATTTCCAAGTGAATGGTCCGAAAGACCGATAGGGCGCGAAGATGCAAAGCACCAAAAATCTGGTCCTTCCTTTTTATGCCTGATATCTTCTAGCAATCGAGCCCTTCGCGCCGCAACTACGAAGGGAAATCTTGCGCAATCATGTACATGGTTAATTGAAATTGGCGTTTTATAAATGTTTCACGCAGAGATTTATCGAAACATGTGCTCGTGCAGTTTTTGATGTTTTACAGTTCAGTCTTCAGGTTCTAACTCTCGTGCATCATTATCTTTCGTTTTGTCATCTCTTTATTTTGCTATATAAATATCATATATTATATCATTTTTATTAATAACTCTCTAATTGTGTGTGATTAATATGGTATCTATATATAATATTATATCATTAAT